AGTAGAGACAAATGCTTAATTAGATATATAACCAAGCTGTTTCCGTATATCTGGATGTAATAGACCAAAATTGGAGTCTGAAATGTATGCATTTCATATCTATATGTTTGTCCTTCAAATGTTCGCGTAAGATATCGATAGCCAACATAAACATTCAAAACAGAGTTTCGAGAGATGAAGGACATTGAAGATAATGTGGAAGATTTAAGGTCGTCACAGTAATATTATTGAGAAGTCTCCTGCTGTTTTCTTGCGATTTATATGGCGAATTGCGCCAAGGAAGCAGAAGACGACTACTTTTCCGTATTATATATTGAAGATATTTTTTGTGTTTCTCCTTTTTCATATTTTATCGACTTGGGGTTTAAGATTCTGTTGACAGGTAGATATTTCCTTTGACATGTTGGAATTTCTTTTGGGAGACAACTATTTCCTTTGACAAGTAAGTGTTTTCCTTGGACATGAAGATGATATTAACATAACAGGTAGTTATATTTAGAAATAATTTTGATTTTTTGTTGTTTGCTTGTGTGTAAACTGCCTTTTTTAAAAGATATTTTCAATGACGCGCGTTATTTCTTATATTTACATTTTTTGGTTTCCTCTTTGAGAATACCGCATTAAAAATTCCGGTTTCAATTGTTTGGACATTACACGCTTAGGCGAGAATACCCGACATCTGATGGAATAGCCGAACAGCTGACTCCAATTTGGCGGGAACAATTGTCATACACAAGACGTAAGTAAATATAGTTCGACAATATAGCATCATTCATTTGAATTATTTCCTATCTAAATTTACAACATTGTTTTTCCTTTTATCATTATACTTATATTTATTCAACATATTTAATTTAATAAAGGTTTATTAAATGTTAGAACTTTGAAGCAAAAAATCATTGCGCATTGCCATGTGTGCTTGCTGTCAAGTTACTGAAGGCCAATGTATTCATACGCGTAAGGTTTACCGAAGTGTAAACGTCAATTTCGTTGGTAGGTCTATATAGAGGATACATACCGGAAATGTAAATATTTGATTTTGACTTGTAGGTTTTTTCATTGACAGACAGGTATATATTTCCATTAACAGGTAGGAATTTCTTTTGGGAAGTAACAATTTCCTTTGACAGGTAAGTGTTTCCTTGGACCGGAAGATATTTCCCTTGATATGTAGGTATCTCCTTTGACAGACAGGTAGTATTTCCTTTGACAGGTACGTATTGCCTTTGATGAGTGCTTATAACCTTCGACTGTGAGGTATTTCCTTGGACAGGTAGGTAATTCCATCGATAGATCAATATTTCCTTCGACGGGTATGAGTAGTTAATTCCTTTGAAAAGCACAAAATGTCCTTTAATAGTTAGGTATTATCTTTGTTGGCTATATAAGTATCTAGATCATTACCTCTTTCCTCAATACCTAGAAAATAGATGAGTATAGATAGATGGTAATAGTATTTCTCCTTGATTGTCCTCAGCTCACAAGTATTCATATTACTAATGAACCAGACTGGATGTATTCATCCTGTACTTTAACATTTTTACTTTTATAAACTTACATACATAATAGTCGTCTTGAACATGAATATTTTTTCCAACAGCCACTTTATCAGACCATATGCCTTAAGCATTTCTTTTACTGTATACCTACCCATTCTGATGACATTGACTATCTTTCTTATATCAATTACCATCTTTCTTATTCTACAGAAAATATAACAATATCACAGTGAGATGTTAGATGTCAACCTTTATTACCGAATGGAAATAAACAGCTTGGCCTAACTGTAATGTACATAAAATAATTAACAGAAAAGTTGAACGCTCTTTCACACTTCCTCTCATTTTACTGTTTAACAACACAATACACAGCTAGGTTATTCCTCTTTGTTGGAAAGTAGTGCCAATATTGCCAATACAAGTGCTATATATAACAACAAATATTTGATGAATGAGGTATCTATTGATCCATATCTATTACTTACCAAGATAGCTAAGTGACTGAAAAATATGTTTTACCACTTGTACAATTATATCATTAGTGATTATATCATTATTCAACATCAATAAGGACAGATGCCTACAGATTTTACTGTTAATCAACTCCTGTCTATTCATAACACAATAGTACAATGGTTTCACCAGTGTAAATATTTCATATTTACTTCTTCTGGCATTAGCAAAGCATTTGAAAGGGTATAACATAGAGGACTTTTATATAAATTTCAACAAAATTCAATCAAATGGATTTGCTAATTTGGATCGTAAAATATTCAGTTGATAGGAAACTAAGGAAACTGATAATAACCCTATTGAATTGGCTCATGACCTGATTGTTGATTTATCTAATAAAGAGAGATATGAATAATACAATCATCAAGATATATATATATTATGAACCACTTAAAGTTGTAAATATTGATAAACATCTTGGCCAAACGTTTAGTGATGATGCGAATGGAATGATTATATCAATCATATAAATCAAAACGCATATACAAAAATTCATATTTCAAGAATAATGAAGCACTAACTTGATAGAAAACACTCTCACAACAATTTACATTAAATATAAACAGTAAAACTCACTAGTGTAGAACACGCTTGCTTGAATCTAAAATACATCGGATGAGTCGAATGTATTGTTCGGTCAAGATTTTTCCACTTCTTCAACTTAGTAAAAAAAAGTAGATAATTCGAACACTGTTGAGTCGAATATTGTGTTTGTGTTGAATATATGTTGTGGTCTATCACTTCTAAACCCGACCTAAATTTCCTTTTTTATTGAAACATTAAACATTTCCTGGCTTCGTTCCGTATGACCGAGTGTGATCGGCAGCCGTATCTATGTAAACTGGCACCGAACTTAATTGTTGATAGGAAATTAATCCCCGCGTTTATACAGGTACACAGGTTAAATGTAAAATATACTGTAGTCTGTTAATCGTAAATATACTGTGTACTAATTACTCTTTATGAACATGGCTGTCGGAAGAAAATAAAAGAGGGAGAGATGACAACCGCGCCGATGCAGATTAATAAAACTCATAGTTTGTCATGTATACATTAGTTTATGATTAAATAGATGTATATATACACGACATATGACCTCCCAGAGTTACTGCCTTCGTTTTCACTCTGTCGGTAATGATTTTGCGATCAGTTTGACAGCCGGGAATGATATAAAAACTGCAAGTTATTTCTAATTCTATTTTACGCTAATTGCTCTAACGATGCTGTTCGCGCACCATGTAAAGTTATGCGTCAGTGACGTTTCCGCAGCCTTCATGTTTTCCATAGCACAGCTCAGTACTTTCAACGTTATATCGATGTAAAATATTCATGAGTACATATTTCAGGAGTTTTATTAAGATATTGTTGACGGGACTTGTTACTTTTTAGGATATAAATGTGAGTACGTTATTACATTATGTGTGTATGAAAATTAATACTTAATCAAGTGTGTGCTGCAATGACAAGTGTTTCACATTACATCTTTTGTTTCCTATTCGTTCTTAAAATTATTTATTCAAATAAAAAATGTTGTCAGTGTACAAACATATATGATATTTTTATCTATTTATTACTCATTCATTAATGTTACACAATGCTATGAAACACTTATCCGGTAAACAACCAAAAATGGTCAAGCACATTGTAACTAATAACAACATGGCTATGCCGAACCTTCAGATGAGTCGAACATTTCATTTGATCCCGTCGGCTTTGACTTCTAAGCGTTTTACACATTTACTTGAACATGCTATAATGGAAAGGAAAAATTACTCATAATATTGGGGAAAAATATTGGAACCACTACAATTAGAAGCTGCTATATTAATACACGGATTTTGCAGACGTAGCTATCTGAATTCAGGCAGTAAGCAACATAGATTAGTGACGATGTCTAAAATTATAAATTGTAACAGTTATTAAGTCACATCTACATGATTTCGATAAATATTCTCTCTCAGTTAGAAGATTTGATACCACTTTCTCGAACAGTCGCATTCTTTGAAAGTTTTTTCTAAACAAAAACAAACCATGACAGATGTATTTAGTTTTACTGGTAAGCTATATATTAATATTCTATTATGTCAATTAAGAAATAATTGTATCAATTTGAATAATGATCCCAATAAAGACAATTAAGTAAATGTCACGCAATGCTATGAAACACTCATCCAGTAAACAACCAAAAACATGGTCAATCTTTCAAGCACATTGTCTCCGTTCATAGAACTAATAAAAACATGGCAATGCCGAACCTTCAGATGAGTCGAAAATTTCATTTGGTCCCGTCTGCGTTGACTTTTAAGTGTTTTACTGTAACACATTTACTTGAATACGCTATTATCGAAAGGAACAATTGCTCATTATATTCAAATTATATTATGATCATGTTCATGTGACTTCAGATTTGTCACTGTTTTCTTTATTTGTTGTAATTTTACAGATATTCAAGTCACAGTATACCAGAATGCTGTACATGAAAAGCATGACCATCTATCAATAGGTGTTATCTTTAATGACTTTGAGAGCTGAAATGAAAATAGAAATCTTCTGGCTACCCTCCAGTTCGAAAGGATTTAGACTTTTCTAAGAGCTGAATGAATTGATATTAAATGTAAGTTCATAACATGTTTCTTTATACTGTCTATAACATTTTTTCCCAAATAGTTAGTATATCCATCATTGATACTCATGATCACTGGAGGATATAATATCAAAACTAGTTGTTTATTTTGATATTTGAAGCTACACCTTCTATATAGTTGATGTATGTGTATTGTCTACAACAGACTTTTAAATCAAAATAATGCTAAATAGCAAACGTCCTAAAATACTATAACAGCATTTAAACAATAGAATCATAATTGTTTATCATGGACTGCTACTCTATCAATATTACTAACGCTCATGTTCTACATCCATAAATGGAATGACTAATGATGTAAAGTCCTGTGTACCAATGATACATGAAGAAATTTCCTTTGTAATCTACACAAGCTGAGGTCTCTCGCAAATAAATTTATAAGGATCATTGCAATGTTCATCAAACAAAGCAGGCACACCAAGTACTGCACAATCTGCACTGTGCATGTCAGGGGAATCCCCATCGAAGTTATTAAAGGATACTTTTGACCACATTTGTATATCAAATGGAGTACCATCAACCCATTTCCATTTTCCTTCCATCACAACATCCGTCAGACCAATGTAGAGATACCGTCTGTTGTTACCTGTTATACGAGAAACATAGTCATTGAGATTAAGGATTAACAATATGATAACCTCAAAACAATTAATCCTGTCCCGCGTGAAATTATATAACTATACTTCCTTAAAGCATGTCACCTTTTGGACAAAATACCGGACCTTTGACTCTATTAATACCTCAGGACTTTGTTATAGGCTTTGAGAAAAAATACTTTTAATCTATCATAATTATATCATATCATGTTATATATTTTTTATTTTCTACTAAAGAAATTTTCACAGGAACCCCAAATTAAAAGGAAATTAGGTCCTTTCAACCCTGACAAAATCTTAACAGGAGACCAATAGTCCTGTATTAGCCACATGATATTCACTTCCCTTCATCAACGTTATAATCGAAACAAAATGTGTTTAAAAGGGGTCGCTTTTTTCATCGACTTCATTATATTCATGAGGTACTTCAATTTTATATTTTTATCTTAAAGCTTCAAGTACCTTTTGCGAATGCAAAGTAATTGGGTAAATTAGAAATCACGTCAGTGTTCATTCACCAAAGCATTGAACACGTAGATAAATACGTCTCAAAAAGAATTAGAATGTTTGCGAATGAGATCATTATGTCTACTAATTTATCGATCTGCATGTCTCCATTGTCAGGCTATTTGCCAACATCTTAACTTATATCTTGAAACGTGCCATCATCTAAGTTAAAGAAAACGTAGCATGCAGATTACGAGAAACTTCGTGGACTAGACGTTCACCAACAGTGTCTACCATCTGCAATTTCAAATAATGGAAAATTCGAAAAAAACAAAAATTGAAATCGGCAAAATTTAGATTGAAGGTTAAATTTTAATTATTGTTCTACTGACGCTGTGCCTTTTTCGATCCAACCTGCTTTTTTCTTTTGTTAAGTCCCCTTTCGGTAACTATCTCCTTATGACTGAAGGGTCTAGAAGGACGGTAAACAAAATATTGTTCATATCTGATTTCGTATATTTTCTATCAACTTATTGCATACTTGTTAAATATTTGAGTGCTCCGTTAATCTTTGCTGGCGAGGTCAACACGAGTAATCTTCCATCTTCCTGTTCACATGTCCGACTGGCGTTATCCCAAATCATGTTTTTCTCTATTATCTTGATGCAAAGATTCCCGTCTTCGACGAACGTGTATCCTGATCGTTGACAATCTACAACAGCAATATCAGATTTGAGTTTACACCATCACGACATTCAATATCCTATGAAACCAATAGGTATAGATTACAGGACAATTCAAATGATTTTACTGCCTTTTATCTTTGTGTTGGATTATCAAACAGTTATAATCTATACATATATGTTACGTTCTTGACATGTACGTGCTTTGTTAGGGATTTACGTATTTTAAACATTCTCCTTATACCGGTACGAGTCTTTATTTGTTGGGTTTAGCCTTGTCATATTGGATGTTACAAACAATTCATATTTTGACCTTACTTTGGCATATTTATCATATAACAATGCTTAGTCTGTTGAACATCTATGGTCATTTAGGGACGACGTAACGTTAAAAAACAAGACGTGACGGAAAACTGACTCTGTATGAGCCAGGCAGAGGCGTTTCCATAGTAAGTCATTGCAGTCTGTGTTCATGCTTTCTGCATAGTGATGTTGATAAGGAATTACGCTCACAGTTCACCGTGTCAACTAATTGAAACGTGTTTAAATTTTCATTCATCTGTGTTCTGTTAAATCATCAGTTGGAATGATTAATTGATACCTTAGGAGTTGAATAGCACCGACCATTTAGTGGTAAGATGATATAGATAACTTACATTACTTACTTGTATCACCTTTGTACACCACACGTGGTACAGGAAACTGAGACGGTAAAGTATTGAAAGTGGCGATTCCGGTGTACACGTCACAATCATTAGTCACCTCGGAGAATTCAAACATGTAGCAAACCATTTGAAGGAGGCAAAGTAAGGCACATTCTCTTAAAGATGACGTCGATCTCGAAAAGAGAAGGTCTCCACATATTTGACTTGTGTGGTTGATCACGTGATGTGTGTAGGTTCCCGACAGAACGATTGCCATGGTCATTTCTGTAAATAGAATAATCATTCTGAACATTCTCTCCTGAAGGACGTTACTTCCGAAAGGAGCAAATTTCCACATATTTGACATGTGCGGTTGATCACATGATGTGTCCAGGTTTCCGACATAAAGATTGGCATGGTAACTCTGTGAATAACCCAGACATGTTTTTATTAATCTTTATCACACAATTCATTAAGATATCGACTTTATCTTATTGCTACAGAGAATCAACTTTACATTACGTACATAGTTGTATTAGTATTAATAAAATAATATAATCTAGAATTGTATCGATGACAGTGTTTACCTACTAAGCACCAACATACCACAATACTATTGTTTTGCATTTGTCTACATCTTTAGATTAACAAAATAATTTTGTGCAAAACTGAATTCCACTTCTGAACAATGACTTTCTATTTGTTGCAGTGAGGATCTCATGTTTTGATAATTGGGTTACCATTAAGCAGTCCTTAGACTCGACTGCGCTTGGTCATACCTCATAGGTTATACGTACAGATTGTTGTCAAGGACTTGATAATAGCAGATTACGTCCTATAACACAAACAAACCTCTCATATATATTGTATTGTGTCACCAGTCGTAATTCTATCATCTTTGTTAATAGTTAAAACCGATTTAGAATATTGTAAGAGAAATACGGAAAATGTTGAATTAGAATGATTTTTTCATCTATTGAGTTCAACCTATTTTATTCAGTAATACAAAATGATATCCATGCTTAATACTTAAAAACATTTGAGACTTTGAATAAAAAATCAAATTAACTGTGTTCCGTTACGGAATTAACGCACAGCAAATGAAACCCAACAGCTAGGTTTACAATTCAACAATTTAATAACAACAAATACATTCCACAATAAAGTGACAAATATTGCGATGGTGTACAGCGCTAGCCACTAATTAATCAAAAGTAAGAACTTATCTTGCGATGAAAGCCCTCCAAATCCAGCAGAATTCACAAAAGATTGTCCCAAAAAACAGGGTATCCAAAGAATAATCCAAGAATTGTTTCCTCGTTGGGTATAAATAAGTGCACGTCCACAAGGCACTATCACTGAATCACCGTAAAAGTCCACAATTCACAGACTGAAGTCTCACAGTAAACTCACTCAAGTCGTTTGTACTTCAAATAGGCTGCTAAGGCTCAGTTCCATCATGTTTATATACACTAAAGGTTCTTTTCTAGAAGATTCTAGACTAGCAGGTACCTAGCTTGTTTACATGTATCTCCAGAAAATTCCACAAACACACAGGTCAATCTGCCTAGCACTATCTACACATATTATGGCAAATAATTATCAACAGGTTTTTTATGTAAACAATCAATATGATGCAATGCATGTAAACACAGCACATCTGAATTTAGATTAATACACAGTACTTATACATAACAACTGTTAAAATAGTGGCACGGATCAAAACTAACTTACATATGTTCTTTTTTTGTAACTTTTTATTTTTAAAGAATTTTCATTATATGTACATCACATATGACAAAAAAACAACTACACACATGTTCCCTCACATGCACACACACACATACATTCACATGTGGGATAATAAATTCATCATCATCATCATCATCATCATCATCATCATCATCATCATCATCATCCATAAACTATGTATACACTGTTATCATCATCATCAGCTGCAGCATCAATACACAATCATCACGATATACATGTATAACCATCATCATCCTCCTTCATATCATCATCATCATCATCATCATCATCATCATCATCATCATCATCATCATCATCATCATCATCATCATTCGTTCATTCTTATACAATGTGTTCATCGTCATTCATCATCATTATACTTTCATCCTCCTCATAAGCAGCATCTATATACAGTCATCACCATATACATGTATAACCATCATCATCATCATCCATTCATATACACATCATCATCATCATCACCATCTTCATCATCATTCGTTCATTCTTATACAATGTGTTCATCGTCATTCATCATCATTATACTGCTATCATCCTCCTCCTCATAAGCAGCATCTATATACAATCATCACCATAACCATCATCATCCTCATAATCACCACCATCTCCATATATTCATCTTCATGATTACGATGTAGCATGATCATCATCATCTATTGGTGAATACATTCATCATCACCATTGTTATCCTCATCATCATTATTACCACACTTACATACATACAAAATGTACATTCATCAGCATCCACCAAAATAAAACTGCTATACACTCACACACAGGAAAAAACATACAGTTTTAAACACACACACACACAGAGAGAGAGAGAGAGAGAGAGAGAGAGAGAGAGAGAGAGAGAGAGAGAGAGAGAGAGAGAGAGAGAGAGAGAGAGAGAGATAAGGAGAGAGAGAGGAGAGAAGAGAGAGACTTGTGCCACTTGATGTAGTAAGACTATTTAAAAATGAAGTGTGTTGAAAGCCACTAAAACTAAATCTTCAGTAAAAAAAAAAAAAAAAAAAATAAAATAAATAAATAAATAAGTATATCAACAAGTACTGTCAGGGGATGGGTGTTATTTCTAGTAGCTTTCCCATTTTTTCCATCTATTGAACAATTTTGCCCTATTTTCTTTATCTTGTACAGTGTGTATATACTTTTGTATAATGTAATTATCTTTTATAATAGATTTTAACTCTTGAATAGATAAAGTGTTTTGTAAACATCTTGTTCAATAGATGTATTGCTTCATAATGAGCAAAATAAGATTGTCAGCTGTATAGTATGTATTTCTATAGTTTCTAATACCAAAAATAAAAAGTTTCTTTATTGAAAGTAAATGGAATAAAAAGAGAATCTAACAAGGTCTCAAAGTTCTCAAAAAATGATTGTACTTCCCTGCACTCCCATAATAAGTGCACTATTGTCTCCGTTTCTGTTTTACAGAAGAAGCAGTATGGACTCTCTGTCAAACCAATCTTAAATAAATATGAATTTGTGGTTAATATGTGTTGATTTGTTCTATACTGAAGCCATTGTAGCTTTGAACATTTAGTTACTCTGAACGGGGTGTTAAGTATACTTTTCCAAGTTTCGTCATCAAAATCAAACAATTCATTCCACTTTCTTTTTCCATTAGATACAGTTATATTAAAAGAAAGTGTGTTATAGAAATCTTTTGAGCCCTTACTATTCTTCAAGAAACATTCTAAGTTAGTGGGTATTAATGGGTATGATACATTTTCATCTTCTGGTTGTTTATGAGCAGAATAATTTCTTATGGAAGTTATTATGCCCTGATATGTAAGGAAATTGGTATTAATATGGTATTTTTCTATAAACTCGTTAAAAGCGTAATATGTATTCATGTGTGGTAATTTAAGTATATCATTAATCATAACAACTCCTTTCTTATACCAATCTTTATAAAACACCATCTTATCATTTACTCTTATTTTTTCATTAAACCAAAGAGGAGTTTTTAATAATGAGACAGACCTATTTGTCATTGTCTTTTCTTTCTTTTTAAGATATCCCCAAGATTTGAATACATCCTTCCAAAATTGATTTTTACACTTAACTTCAAATTCCTGTATATATCCTGATCCACAGCTAGCCAAAATACTTGTGTCAATACTTTTGCTGAGAATATATTGCCATTTACTTGGTCTAGAGTACAACCTTCTTATCCATATTAACTTCAGTGCCATAATAAAAGAATGGATATCTATCATTTTCAAACCTCCTTCTGTATAGTCTTTAATAATAATGTCCCTTTTCTATTTATCTACTTTACTGTTCCAAAGAAAGCTAAAAAGTTCATAGTTTAATTTTTTAATAAAAGATATGTCTGGGTTTGGTAAAGCAATAAAAAGATGGTTGAATTGTGATACTAGCAATGACTTAATTATATATATTTTACCAATAGGAGTAAAAACCCTTTTATTCCAGTTACTTAACAGAGATTTTAGCTTAACCAATTTCTTGTCATAGTTCATTATAATAATTTTATATAATTCTACATGGTAATCTATACCTAAAATAGTAAGTTTTTGCTTTCCCCAATGCAAGTTCCAGTCTGTACAAAATTTTTCATCACTGTATTTCCTACTACCTATCCAAATTACTTCTGTTTTACTTTTATTTATTTTCAGTCCAGATATATCTGCATTGGGAGTATCTTCTATATTTATGCCTCTTATATTATCATTATTTCTTATCTTAATTGCTAGAATTTCTGCACATAAAATGAATAAGTATGGAGAGATAGGGTCCCCTTGTCGACAGCCCCGTTTGATATTAAAAAAAAGGTGATAGATTGCCCCCCTGATTAACGGATGAGCTTGAACCATTTTGAAAAATATGAACCCAGTTCCTTATGTCGTTTCCAAAATTAAAAAATTCCAGTACTTTATCTATAAAATCCCAGTTAACAGAATCGAAGGCTTTTTCAAAATCAACATTAAGTAACATACCAGGAATTTTCTTCGGCATAGTGCATAATATCATATATAATCCTTGTATTTTCACCAAAATATCTACCTGAGATAAAACCGGACTGATCAGTATTTATAAGTTTATCTAAGACTTTACTTATTCTATTAGCTATTGAACCTGAAGCAACTTTATAGATTGTATTCAGAAGTGTAATTGGTCTCCAATTCTTCAAGTTGTCTTGGCTTATCTCCCTTGGGTAAACATGTTATAATTCCTTGTTTCTGCGTTACTGACAAATTTTTAATATCAAAAGCGAATTGAATTGACCTTACTACAAAATGACCCAGTTGTTTCAAAATTTTTTTTTTAAATTCAACTGTAAATCCATCAGACCCTGGGCTTTTATTATTTTTCATAATTTTTAGAGTATGAGATGCTTCATTTATTGTAATATTACCTTCCAAATTATTTATTTCTATATAATTCAACTTTTCTACATTACTGTTACTAAGATAGTCATTCAAGTTAATGCTATGTAATTCACAGTCTTCTGAATACAATTTTTCATAAAAT